CATATATTCATAATACTAAAAATAGTATTATTACAAAACAGGGACTAACAAAATGTATCTTTAATTCATATTTGAACAGACTATTATCATCATTTATACTTTTCCTTTGCCCTTATCTTGCAAAGTACGCTGACCTGCAAAACAGGTTAGTCCAACAACTGAGCGTTAGACCAAAAGGTCTAGTGAGTGTATAAATCTCATACAAACAATATACATTCCAAACAATCAGTTTAGAATCAAACATGTTCTGAAACATAAACATATTTATGTTTCTCACTCGCGGTTACACCGCCATTTCATCTCTCTCACGGTTACACCGCCCTTTCATCTCTCTCGCGGTTACACCGCCATTTCAACTCTCTCGCGGTTACACCGCCATTTCATCTCTCTCGCGGTTACACCGCCATTTCATCTCAAAAACATTTCAAAAACTTTCTATCTCTTTATCCGGACTTGAAGTCCGGTCAATCTTGTCCGGATAACAAGTCCGGTCAACCTTAACACTTGAAATTAAATCAACCTCTTTGTCCGGATTGCAAATCCGGTCAATACTTCACTATCAATGTTAACCGGTTTAAATTAAATCGGACAATACATGATTCACCTTTTGGTCGGTTTAAATGATATCCGGTCACCTCTTGGCCGTTTTAGATGATATCCGGTCACCTCTTGGCCGGTTTAGATGATATCCGGTCACCTCTTGGCCGGTTTAGATGATATCCGGTCAAGGCATGAGCGGTTTATTTATCCGGATATTAATCCGGACAACACTTGGACGGTTTAAACAAGAACTCTCATAAAATGTAACAAAAATTCATAATAACCAGTTCCAAATGCTTATCAAACTGTATGTAAGCAATTCATWTCCAAAGCTCTTAATACACTCACCTTTTAGAAGTCAAATAACAAAGTTTTTGAAATCCTCTTTCTGTGCAATCCTCTTGATTCTTCAGAGAAAATTTCTAAAAGTAATATGTGTGTATACCCTTTTCTTCACAAAATCTATTTATATATATACAAAAAGGAGGAGAGGTGATGGGCGGCTCATTTAGCCGACCTCCCCCCTTTTTATTTAAAACAAATAAAATTTTAATTAAATACCAAAAATATTACACACATACATACATAACCGTATACATATATATAAATATATGTATAAACTTGAAATATAGCCAGAATATTACATTGGAATTTGATGCTTTTCTTTAGATTAGTCTCTGTTCTTCGATATTGTTCATAGATTAGTTCATGTTTGTTCTTTCATTACTTAGGGGGATATTGTTAGACCCCATAATTTATAAGTGTAAAAGTAATAAAGAACAATAAGTGATGAAGAACCAGAAGACCGATGAAGACGTTAAGGCAAAATTGACCAAGTCTGAAGAACAACAAGAGGGTCGATGAATCGATCAGAGATGCGATGGAAAGAGCATCTTCATCACCCCTCTGGTCAACAACACTTAGAGTTTTCTTCAGCAATTCAACCAGAGGCATACAATGAAAATATGAAGATAAGGTTGAATCATCATCCCATAGAAGACAGCTGGAGATAACTAGTCGACAGCTGGATTTCAAGTTTATCTTGATTAATAACTTATCCATTCTAAGATAAACATTATCTTTCCCAGAAGATTGGCTAGATAGTCTTATTAGATAGTTATCTTCTTATCACTAGTATAAATAGGTGATTAGGCCTATTGTAATCAATGTCGCTTTTTACGTTTTCATATTGAATAAAGTGAAATCATTGGCACTCAAGATTGTTCTTTGAATGTACATACATTGTTCTTGAGTGTTCATCTTTTTGTTCATTAAAACATTATAATTTGGTTATTCTTAACTTGATTATTAGTGTTATTAAGAGATCTGGGATCAACAGAAAATGGTACCTTACATCGATGTGCTTGGTCTTGGAATGCTGCACTGGGTTTGTAGAGATTGCTATAGCACTTTTGGAGTCACAGAGGATGGGAATTTTTTCATAATGGAATCCATAGTTCTTAAGCTGAGTCTTCATCCAGAGAACTTGTGAACAACAACTAGCAGCAGCAACATATTCTGCTTCTGCTGTAGAGGTTGAGACATAGTTTTGTTTTCTGGATGTCCAACTTACCA